AATTGTACATATAAATATATATATATACATATAGAAAAAATTATGTAATTACAATATATCAATATAATAAATATGTGTGAAATATATGCCGACAGATATACATATATATATGCTTCAAGGTATATGTATGTATATGCGTACACACACTGTGTTGTAATGTATAAATATTATATATTTATATAGATACAGGGTGTTCCAGTTTTAATCCGCAAAATTTTATCGGCACATTATATGGGTGAAAGTAAAAAAGAAAAAAAATAAAGAAGAATGTTATTTTATATATAAAAAAAAAATAGGCTATTAAATACTTTATTAAAATGGTATAATAAAACTATGAAATTATAATGGATTTAATAGTTCATTATTTCAATGTGCACATGTGCAACATTTTTACTTAAAAAAATTAATTGCACAGTTATTGTTTGCTTTAGATTTCTTATCAAATAAAAATTGCTGTTAAAATTGTTAGAAGATATACTATTATTATTATTTCGTCAACATTTATGAAATTAATGGTTAATTAATTATTACATGAACAGGTGTCTTGGAGAACAAACTTTTTGGTCTTAACAAATTATAATTAAATCCAACAAAATCTATTCTTATGTGATATAAAACAAGAAAAGTATTCCATTGTAATATCATATTTTATAAAAATTATAACAAAATTAATAAAGCATTAATAAGAACCCCAATTTATTCTTATTTACTTTTTTCTTTTTTTTGCTATAATAACCATAGAATATACTGATAAAAATTTGTGATAGATGGGGGAAAGGGGGAGGTGTGGGGGTTAAAAAGAACTGGAACATCCTGTAATATATTATCATATTATAATAGTAATTAATAATAATAATTCTTTCTTTCTTTCTTTCGATATACGTAACAATACTTCACACATACACACACACACTCTACACACCACACATACCTGAACGATAAAAGAGATAATGTATTAATTTTTTCTAGATTTTCACGTATTGTTTCTTTTGATAAGTGTGTAACAATGTTTATTATAATGTATATATAAAGGAAACACGATACTACTATCACTGAATCATGCGTAGCACGGTTCCCTGACATTTCGTATAAAGGCAATAAATTCTTTTTGGTATTTAATAACAAGAAGAAGAGAAAAGGAATTTACTTCTTTTTTTTTTAATATATATATATACATATACAATATAATTTATATGTATATATATATGTATATTAGAAATATTCTTTGAGTACATCAAGAATATGTTTTTGATAAGCAGAAGATACATGAAATTATTGTTCTCCTGCTCGTTTGGTCGTATTTTTTAACATGATATATTATTTTTATATATATATGTATATGTATATGTATATTACGTAATGTAAAAAGATTCGAAGAGATTAAAAAACATTTTTGAGATGAACGAGAGGATAATAAAGCGAGCGAGTAAGAAGTTTTGGAAGGCAAAGAGTGGCTGATCTACGAACTTTTTCTATTTTTTTTTTTTTTTTTTTATCAAAGATTGCCGACTCGCGATTATTATTACACGAGAAAATGAATACTTCTTCTTCTTCTTCTTCTTTTTTTGTGTACTTTGTTTTTCTTTTTTTCGGTTTTTTTTCTGTTTTTTTTTTTAATCCGCAGTTTGCCGACGAACAAATTTGATCCCATTTTTTACGATTAAATATATTTAATTGTCTATATTAATTGGATACCAATTATTAATTAAAAACAGAAATATAAAATTTCAACGAATCGATTATTAAAAGATACATTTTTCTGAATTAAATATCTCCGTTGCATGTGAAAATAATTAACACCAGATTTTACTGAGATATGTGATTTTGTTCATTAGATTATTTTAATGATTTACAATAACATTGTTTTAATTTCAAATGAATTGAGAATACTCGGAGAAATTAATATTTACGTATATTAAAAATCAACATACATTATTTATAAAAAAAATAATGAAACTTTGAATAAAACAAATGTTTTAATCACTCGATAAATTTAAAATTAATAATGATCATTTAAAAAAAACGTTTTAAAATTCATCTTGATACCATTCAATTATATCTGATATAATTAATCCACAAACATTTTATATAAAAAAAAGAACACAAAAAAATGGGATTTATTTTCATCGGCAAGCATACGTAATTAAATATGGTTCGTAAGAATCTTAATAAATTGTCTTTGTGATTTATAAGTACAAACGACGTTTAAATATCAGCGTAAGTATTCAAAGTAGAAAGTGTAAAGTATCACAAGGATTATAATAATAATAATAATAATAATAATAATAATAATAATAATAATAATCTCGCAAGAGAGCGAGACCATTGTGACTTTTTCTTAACATTATCGATCACACATTAATTATAAGCGCTTTAATTATCGCGTTCGTTATACGCGAGAGAGAGAACATACGCGCCAACGAGTATCACCAAAGGGGAATTTTTCTATCTTCCTGTGTGTGTTTGGGATTCTCCCGTAAATACATCAGTCTTTGACACAATAATTTATAATAATACCACTGATATAGTATAGAGAGATAGATAGAAAGAGATAGAGAGAGTAAAGCTGAGCTAAAAAGATCATCTTTTATATTTATATTTATATATAATCATTTTTTAAGTGTTTCACACACATTTTTCATTTTTCTTTTTATTCATCGTAGACGAGAGAACACTTATAAAAGGCGACTTTGAGTATCTTTTTTTTTTTTTGTTTTGTTTTGTGTTTTTTTTGTTTTCTTTGAATGCATGGTCAAATACGTTGGTAAAGTTGTGCGCGATAGATAGCGGGATTTAAAGAAGGCTCGAATAAGAAATATTTATTTAAAAAAGAGAAAGATGGAAAAAGGTATGTATATATATATATATTTTCTCGAAAAAGTAGAGTTGGGTAGGGGAGTAGAAGAAATATTTTTCGAAAGTATCCTTTTCCTAAAATATTGTACGATGGTAGGAATTTATTTATACTTACCGACGAATAATAATTATTAAACCCCTTGGCCTACACCAGGGCTTCTTAAACTTTTGTCATTCACGAAACCCATTTATGATTGCGAGTTTCTTAACGATCCCATACAAATATTACTGCTGTCGGTGGAGATAGCTCAAAACCTTAAACAAATGCACGTGCCTAGACGCTGCAAGTCCACTGTATTCCGCCAACATTAGTGATGTTATAAAATGGTATATATAAATATTTCACATTAAAATCTCTCGCGATCCCAGAATTTTGCTACGCTACCCCATTTGGGGTCGCGACCCATAGTTTAAGAAGAAGCCCTGGGCCTACACGATATCTGCCAATTGTGCGTGCCATAATAAACAAGAGAATCGGTCGCACGCTGTGCCCATTCATCTGTTCAGCCACGTACTTGAACTGGCCCAAAATGTGTAACTTTCATGACATATGTTTTTCAAAGCAATTAAAGGAATTGTTAAATAATAAACAATGCGTAGGTACACATAGTCATTTTTAGACGTCTAGGGTGCAATTCATAATCAATTAATCAATTGACAAAAATAATTTATTATTTTCAAATAACGAATCAATAGCAATTTATAAATGAATACTTAGTTAAGTGAATGAAAAACAAAAACAAAAAAATCATGACGATCATTGATAGTTTGTTTTTTTCAATCAAAGAAAAAGTATTGGATGTGGAATAAAACCAATCGCTAGTTCGAATAATACGTGGCATCTTATGCACCGATTCCTCACCACGAGCCTGACTCGTGGCTTTTGTTTATGGCACAAATTCTTTACCACGAGTTAAACTCGTGGTTTTCGTTTATGGCACAAATTCTTTACCACGAGTTAGACTCGTGGCTTTCGTTTATGGCACAAATTTTTCATCACGAGTCTGACTCGTGGTTATAGGCCAAAGGGTTAATGATAAAATGTATGTGCGTTATAAAGGAGCTTTCGATTAGTATAATGCTCCTAATTCTTCCTTCTTCTTCTTCTATTCGAACCTTGTCTTCTTCTTTGTTTCTTTTCTTTTATTTTATCTTTTCGGTCAACAGCAATCTCATATTTTTGATTTTACTTACTATATGTATTTTTAATCGAGGATACGAGAAAAAGTTACAAGAAGATGAAACAAAAACTTAAACGACAGAAAAAGTTTTATATACAACGAGACGCTTTGAAAGGGGTGGGGTGGGGTGGGGTGGGGTGGAGAGAGGTGATTATGTATGAATCTCGAAAGGTTTATCATTATCGAGCCCTCGTCAGGATAAAGAATCATTATTTAATTCTCTAGCTATATATATATTAAAGTGAAATCACTTGTAGAATAATTTTATGCATTAATTGTATGTGTCGTATTATTTAAAAATTAGTCCTAAGATTTTGTTTCTTTTTCATTGTTTTTCAAAAGCCAACAATATATTATATCTTCAATTGTATTTAAACTTTAAAGAAAAATCAATGATCATTTATAAGATTACTATTTCTTTCCCCTAATATATATATATATATATATATATAGATATTTTAATTTGATTTATTTTTGTTTTGTACGCAAATTGTGATAAAAATTGCCAAATAGCTGGAGAGTTAAATATATTTTAAATATAAGACAAATACGAGGGAGACAAGCAGCACCTATCGATTCTCTCTTTCTTTTCTTTTCTTGTTTTTTTTCTTTTCTTTCTTAGGCCACACGATAATAATATTTGGTTCATTATATTCCGAGGGAAATGAAAAAGCGAGCACGCCTAATAAATACTCATTTCTCGAGATTCATTCGTTCGTTCGTTCGTTCGTTAATTAGTTAGTTAATTAATTAATTAATTAATTAATTCGTAATTATAATTTAAGTTGGAGTAGCTTGCGTCTGAGGTGAGGGTGATGCCGGGGTGTTAACATTTGGCCTATAAAATCTGTTAACTAATTGTTTCAGGCTCATGACATTTCCTAATCCGGTACCCGGGTCCATGTTGATAAACGAATCCAAATTGTCTTTGCATGCTAAAACGTACGTATTCGTGTTCTAAATCCAATGTTACAGGTTAAATATCAAAAGTTATACGTACTTGGCGTTGAAATTGGTGGATAATCTGGTGGTGTTTTGATCCATGTACCGTCCTCGCGTTTCATGTGTTGACGATTAGATGCAAATTGTTGCAAATAAATACTGGCAGGTACCAATCGGAATCTTCTATGATATTCCGGTCGCAAAGCTTCGTCAGATCTGAACGTTTCCGTGGCGTATTTCCAGAAATGAGTTGGAAATGGTAATGCGCTGTCCAAATCATAAACCACGGCTCTCTCGTCGGGTGCATAAATCAGTATAACGTGATAATCCTGAATGAATATTAAACGAAACCAAAAAACAAAGGATAAACAAATTGATTAGCAATGAAAATTATTATATACGTTCTAAATTTAGCAATCAACTAACCCAAACTACGAGTTTGTCTTCGTCTTTTCCGGCACGTTGACGCCAAAGTGGTACGCTACGTCGAGAATTACTTATAAAAGCAACGTGACAATGTTGCAATTCCGATCCGTGTTTAGTTGCAACGTCCTGGCACAACTTCCATACATTTTCTTCGCTGAAAACATATATGAAAAATATCCCCCGTTAATTAATAATGGATTCTATCCTAATAATAAATATAAATATAATTTATAACAGCGCGTTAAGGGGTTGCTTGCACGCGATACGAGTAACCTTTAGATTTATCAGATGTAACTTGAAAGATTGTAACTGGATAATCACGTAAAGAAGTTATTTTATAATAAAAAAATCGTTAATTTGCGAAGCATTCAAAAATAAAAGAGAAATAGAGACGTAAATAAGACGTTACTGTGCATAAATGCATTCGAGATAGATGAAAACAAAAAAATAGGAAAAAAATAGGAAATAAAAGAATTCCGGCCAATAATTGTGTAGCTGACGATGCGCGAATTTTTAAATACCCTCCACTAAACTTTCCTGATTGGTAGCATGCTTTGCCTTTACCCTTTCCCTTTGTCTTTTTCGCATTTGTTTTCTCAATAATGGCGGCGCTTCGTATCAGCAGCAGCGTTCGTGTTAAACCACTGCAACACGTATCGATCCAGGCGCAAGGAATATACCGCAATACGACACATTTATTCTTTCAAATCGATCTCCCTCTCCGAATTCTTATAACGAATAATAATAAATATAAATTATAATATTACGAATTGTGTCTTTTTAATATTCTTACCAATAACAGCTGGTGTAAATGCAATCAGTTGACTTGGTGAAAAGCGGCACCAGGGGTTTGGTGTTTCCCGGGACACGAGGTTCCACTGCCATTCTATGTTTACAAACTTTTCGTATAATTCGAAACCCTCGTTGATCTTTCCCTCTCCTCTCCTCTCCTCACAAACTTTTCTTATTCACACTTCGAATTAAAGTCGCGAGTGACAATTATTTCTTCTCTATTTTTGTTTGTATTTCTTTCAAACTACGTCATAGTTACCAACACAAATTCATTTCGCGCAAACTTCATCGTCATCGTCATCGTCATCCTCCTCCTCCTCGTCCTCGTATTTATTTTTTTAACCCTTTCTTTAGGTTTCGGTAAACAAAAATTTCGACTAAACTTGTGTATTTAAAGTGCAACCTACGATCCTGAACATTCTTCAGTCACTGCGGCGTCTCATTCGAGAATGTAACTACATTCTCTTGACATCCGACCCGCGCCAGGGGTGTCACAAAACTGCGACTGCGTGTTGCGCTTTTTTCCCCCCTTCCCTTTCGACGATTTGCTTATCCCCCACCTTTCTATATCTTCCTCCCCTCCCTTTTCTGACTATCCCCACTCTTTTTCTTTATTTCCAACCATACACCAACGAGCGTTTGTAAAGCCGAGCGCGCGTTATCGCATTGTACTATTAATAAAGCCTATTTTACACGGATGAGAAAATAAATTGTAAAAAGAATAAAAAGAAAAAAAGAAGGGGCAGGGCGGAGGGGGGAGGGGGAGGAAAAGAAATAGATAGAAAAAGTACGTTATTAGGATAGAACTAGATATTAAAGAGATATCAACGATATCCGACAATATCAATCGCTAAATCTTATCAATGTTTTTCTTATGTGCTAATATTCTGCTATACAATCTCGTAAATTCGATGATATAATTCAGTTTAGATTATTCCCTTTAATTGTTATACCAATCTATCTCTGCGTGATACAAATGTTAATTAATAATTTAATTTAGAACCGATACAAATATTCATTTATTTCTTTTATTTTTAATCTTCGTTTTAATATTAGAGCGAATCAAAAATTCGTGCATCTTTAATTATCGTATAACTTCGTATAATGTATGCTATACGAAGTTATTACGCTTTTATTTTTAATCTTCGTTTTAATATTAGAGCGAATCAAAAATTCGTGCATCTTTAATTAATACTTCGAAAGTAAATTTTGCAAAAGAAAAAAATACTCATTTTAGATTATTCCCTTTAATTGTTATACCAATCTATCTCTGCGTGATACAAATGTTAATTAATAATTWAATTTAGAACCGATACAAATATTCATTTATTTCTTTTCTTTTTAATCTTCATTCTAATAATATTATTAGGGCGAATCAAAAATTCGTGCATCTTTAATTAATACTTCGAAAGTAAATTTGACAAAAGAAAATACTGCAACAATAAACGCAATGAACTCTTTTGGTTCATTTTAATAAATGTATATGCACGTTATTAATTTTATTAGTAAAACTAAACTATCAATTAAGCGATGTTTGCGATGTATCTCTTTACCCCTTTAGTTCTATTATTTATCTCTTCTATTCTATCAGACACGCGCGTCCCAACCCTTCGTAAATATACATTTTCCTACTACAAAACCGATGATGTTCTCGGATATATTCTCCAATGATCGATCCGTGAGAATTTACGCGAGTATAATGCGACCTTCCTTGCTTATCCGATAAAAATGTGTATGTATGTGTATATATATATATTACTCTTGCATTCTCATCTTCTCTTTTTTTTTATATTTTTTATTAAAGAGAAACGATAAAAAATAAAACAACACTTGCATCGATGATGATGTTTTCTATTGAACGCCTTCTGCTTCTTTTTCTGTTGTTTTTTTTTCTTTTTTCTTTCACGTTCATCAAACAGTATGACAAAGCTTTTTTTTTTTTCTTTTCTCTTTCACGTCAATAGGATTTAAATCTTATTATGCAACTTAGATGCAAAACTTTTTACTTTTCCTTTTTTCTTTTTCCTACCTAGACTCATGGGTGGTTTTAATAAATGCTTTATCCTCTTTGTGAATCTTTTATTCATCAAATAAAAATATTTAAAATTACTCCTACGCGATAATTTTGAAATTGTATACTGTATCATGAAGAAATTTAATATTAGTGATATACAGTAACCTGTAATAACGAATATCAAATAACCCGACCGGAAATGCAATGACGTAGCTGAGCTTTTATCATCATAAACGTTCATCTTTTAATTCATATGTAACAATTATCTTTGGAGTATATTATTAGATTGTCTAGAACTATTTTTATCCTTTCACTTATTTTTTGAAAATAAATATCTTAACATAATGGCAATAAATGCAGCAAAAGCGGTTCTTAAACAAGGAAAAACTGTATTATTTATATGTGATTTCCAAGAAAGATTCGCTAAGGTTATGTTTGAATTTGATAAAGTTCTTCAAAATTCAGTTAAACTGGTAATTACATTAATCGTAATTTTATATTATATATCACATATATAATATATAAATATTATTTAATGAATTATTTCTCTCGTCCAAAATGATAATTCTTAATAAGGTATCACAGGGAACTTGGACATAAAAATAAGTAGAACTTAATTTAACTAAGTTGGACGTTTCGTCCCTTTATTGGGACTTCTTCAGCAACTTAATCTTACAGTTCAGTGTCTTATTTTATTGTTTAGACATACATTTGTTTTTTTATTAATATTCCAACACACAAAACATCTAAACTTTGTTAAATACTCGCTCGTTATACACGTTGCTGAAGAAGTCCCAATAAAGGGACGAAACGTCCAACTTAATTTAACTAAGTTCTACTTCTTTTTATGTCCAAGTTCCCTGTGATACCTTATTAAGAATAAATATTATTATTAAAATAATTTATATATCTATATATTATGATGTAGGTAAATTCCATGAAACTTTTACAAATCCCAATGCTTGTAACGGAACAAAATCCAAAAGCTTTAGGAAAAACTGTATCTCAATTAGAAATATCTTGTGCTAAAGGTCCTTATGAAAAAACTCAATTCAGTATGTGTACTCCTAATGTAGGTAACTCTTTTTTAAACAGTTAACTTGTAGCAAGAATTTTCAATTATTTATAAAATGATATGTACATAGGTTACTGAAGTTCTTTCCACCATTTGTTGTGGATCTCGCCCAGAGTCCATTATACTTATTGGACTTGAAACTCATGTTTGCGTCGAGAATACCGCAATTGATTTAAGAATGAATGGATATGAAGTTCATACCGTTGCAGATTGTTGTACATCACGTACACAAGAAGATAGATTATTGGCATTGGAGGTAGTAGATTGTGATATACTTGTAGCTTATTAAAATATAATATATATTAATGGTGTTAAATCATTTTTATAGAGAATGAAAGCAATAGGATGTCACGTGTCTACTTCAGAGACTGTTATTTTTAAATTATTAAAGGATGCAAATCATCAAGAATTTAGAAATATTCAAAAACTTATAAGAACGCCAACATTTTATACAGGACTTGTACCAGTATCAAAGATATGAAGTATATAGTTTTGTTAAAAAACATTTAAATCTAAAGAAACTAATATATCATTCAATTGTATTTTATATTAATATTTTATAAAAATAATAACACACACACATACATTATAGTAGAAAAATACAGAATGGAAATAAAAGTAACATATATTCTTGTTGTAATATAAAAATACTGTACTTTTTTTAGGAACAAGTTTTTAATCAGTTAGTTTCATCTATCGATTGGAAGTCTTAACTTTCTTATTTTAATTTGTCCCTGTAGAACCAAATCCATTTTCACCTCTTGTTGTCTCATCCAAGGTACTCAATTCTTCTAATTCAGGATATTCTATCTTTTCACAAATTATTTGAGCAATGCGATCTCCAGGTGCTACTTTAAAATCTTGTTCACTGTGATTGAACAATATTATTTGTAGATTCCCACTGCAAGCAAAGCAGCAAATTACTTAGCAGGATAAACAAAAATTGTTCAATTAAATTCTTATTGAAATTTTCGAATTAAAGTAAAAGTATTTTACCGATAGTCCGCATCTATGACGCCTGCGCCAACATCTATGAAATTTTTCCACGCTAATCCAGATCTAGGAGCTATTCTGCCATAAGTACCACAAGGAACCTGAACTTGTATATCAGTTTTCACTAATTCTTTGCCTCGAGCCGGTACAATGCACTCATAAGCACTAAGAATGACAAAAAACACTTTAAATAATTTGTTGCATTGATTTTTATGTAATAACAAACAATAATTGTTACCTTCGTAAATCAAATCCAGCCGCAAATTCAGAACCTTTAGTAGGTGCGAATGCTTTGTCTGATAATTTAGCGAACTTTAAAATGCATTTATTCTTTATAGCAGCCATGATGAAACTTTACTACTTCCTTCAACGTTTTTCAATAGAATGAGATTTGAAATCCATTCATGCTAGCTTCATTTGTTTCTAGTAATACTAAAGTCTGCCTAAACCGTTTTTTTTTCTATAATCGGTCGGTAAGAAAATGTTGTTTATCATTTCTTCTTCGTTAAATTATATTAAATTATCTTTGTGAAACTAAACAAGACATTTTATCGGCTATTTTACTATCTTTGGTTTATTATTTTGATTATAAATACTTTATTGACTAAAGTAGTAACACCCATAAATATTAACCCGGGAAATTTAAACTTTTTATCATCACACTATAAATGGGGAGGAGGAATTATACCTTTTCGTAAAATAGAAAAATATCATTGTTATGATATTAAAAAAATATCCATTAATTAATAATAATCCTTAATAAATAATTAAATATAATGTTAGTAAAAAGAAAGAGTAAAAATTTGAAATGTTTCATAAAAGAATATGCGCAAACGTTAAAAGTGTTAAAAAATCGATACTATCGTTTGTGAACTTGGAATACCTTGCTTAACTACCTCTTTTTATGTTCTTATTATTATTTTAAATCGGTAAATTGAACATGTCTTTATGAATAATATATTATATTATGCATAACATATAGAATGTGTCGAAATAAAAAAGAATAAGAAATAATTAAAGAAGTAGGGATAAAAAGGGGACGCGTGTTCATTATTATTTCTCTAATCGTTCTGCAGATGGCGTCTCGGTGACACCTGTTCTTACCCAGCACGGTCGCCGCGAGTGCAATGAAATTTTCTTGAAGATTCTTACATTTAATCGAAAAAGAAAGGAAGCAAAAGGATGGTGGAATTAAGTGGACCAGACACGCCGTATCAACACGGCTTCAACAACGTCGTCTTTGTTATACCAGGGATAATAATCGTCGGATTATCCGGTAAGAATATTGTTACTTTTAAGCGCCGTTACATGTCCTGTATACTTTTTATCCCCTTCCTTATTATAAATTTCATTTTCTCCTTTCAACCTTATTATGAAAGAAAAGAAACATATGCCTTTCTAAAAGTACACGTATTTGTACCATTCTTCCGAAACTTCTTCTATATACTTTATATATCTTCAATTTTCATTCAATTTTGTCTTCATCCTGAAAAGATAATGCAAAATGCATAATACAAGTGTCGATGACCGGCTTGCACTTATCCGTTCGATCTGTTGTTGTACTCTTCAGTGATTTCAGTAATATATCGTTTAGATCATCAAATTATTATTTATTTTTATGCTCGATTTCTTTAACAAAAAAATTAATTAATTTTGTTTTTCCTACGTTTTGTTTCATAATCAAATATTTTCAAATGAAAAAGAGATGAGAAATTTGAACAGCTGTTAATAGAAAAGACGTGCACGTTTTCACGTGGATAATAAAGTTAAATCATCAAGTGTATGATGTCTATGTGTAAATATCTTCGACAATGTTTCTTTTTTAAGAAACTTAAGTATTATATGGTATGGTCAACATTTTTCTTCGCATATCTTTATTTTATTATACATTACGAAATTGATGCAATAGGTTTTTATGTTATTTTTAATAAAAATAACTGACCGATACAGAGAGACGGGATCGGGGAAAAAGGTCAATTTGATGAGTCGCTCAGTAGCTCGTGATAAGGGATTCTCCCTTGTCTCCGTCTTCTTTTCTGTCTATCGATATTTTTTCTCTCACGCATATGCATAATAAAAAAAAAAAAGAGAGAGAGAGAATTTTCAAGAAGCTTCCTCTTTATCAGAGCCTTGGAAAAGGTCAAGTAGTTCGTGTGCAAGGTTGAAAGACAGACGCGTCGTCAGTTGGAAGCCACGTTGGCTTCCTGTTATCCAGATTCTACCAATCATAAGACGAGAAGTCTTTTTGAGTCGACTATATTTTCTCACTAAAGCGCTACCGATCTCATTTATATCAGTAATCAGTAATAATCGTTCTACTTTTTTAAGCACATGCTGCTGCTGCTTCTCGAAAAGCTGTTCTTTAATCGTTCATTTTCTCAACAAAGTAGTCTCCTCTCTTCCCATTTAAAATCACAGGTATGTTAATAACAATTTGTTAGAATAACAAATGAATGCAATACAAAGTCTAATTATTGTTAGAACTATCAATTGGTATCTAAAATATTACGCGGATTATCTATATATATTACATAAATACAATAACGATAACAAAATCAGCGTTGTAGGGGGATTTTACGAAAACTTTGTTGAACGATTAATTAATTAATTAATTAGAAACAAGATTTTAGAATATATTAATCATTGATGTTCAATAATTAGGATGTGGATGTCGATAGTTAGCGGGCTTGAGATGCTCGTTAGCGTTTATGCTGCTGATAATAAAGTTGAATCCGAGAATGTTGAGAATATGGAAACAAATCAGGGAGGTTTCCCCGACGGAAAACTTCCTAGTCCTCAACAGCTGCTAGAAATGCTCGACTCGATGACCGGCATCTCCGAGGAAGATAAAAATGACTTAAGGGAAGAATTAATCAAGACTATCGAAGGTCGTGGCACGGATTTTCAACAACAAATGTCCGCTACTCGCGATCTAACAACTCAAACTCTCATTTTGTTATCCTTGCTCGCCATCGTGGCTCTAATTTTTGGTAAATATCTCGTGAAAACGCAAAGCTAAATTATTATTCGACCATCATTCTCAAATCATCGAGTCTTTTTTGACTTTTCAATTCTTTCTTCGTTAACATATTCTGATCAAACGATTCGCTCGTCTTTGCATTGTTTTTTTGTTTCAAACATTTGTAGAATATTTGTAACATTTATCTGAGAAACAGGTAGAAATGGGTGATATCTAATTGTTTCTACGATTGGAAAATCTAAGCAAAGACGAGAACAAAGATTTCACTTAAGATGTTAAAGAACTTTTCGAAGAAAATCTTTAACAAATTAAGACCACTAACCCCGTTTCGTTTTCTTCATCGATAATATATCCAATGTTACATATTTTATTTTTCGATATGTTTCATTCGTTTTTTTTTTAATGGTTACAACGCAATTTCGCAAACTTCAGTGATGACGAAAATGATTAAACTCGTATAAGAACATAAGTGTGGTAAATGTAGAACACAATTTTGCAATAATCCAATTCCATATTATTCTTTTGTCCACTTCTTGTCCATAATTCTACTTGTATCATATAATCATTCGTTTTAATATAATGAGAATTTTGTTTAAAACTCGTACAACGAGAGATTTATTTTTATAACAAAAATCGGTGTGATATATATTTTCAGTATTCTTCGTGTATAAACTCTTCAAGTGCTTGAAGGAACGCGAGCAGAAAAAAGAAGAGAAAAAGAAGAACAAACAATTGAAGAAGAAAAAGTAGCGTATAGGAAAATCATTAAATTTTATGACAGAAACGAGTCGACTGGAATGAAAGAGTACAAAAATCCTGCTTTCTACCCGAATTAAAGTGATGGTTTATAAAGAAAAATAATGTTACGTGTACGTTGCTTTATACGAATGATCATATTCGATCTTAACGTGTCAAATGATCAAGTCAATTGAAATTTTATTGTCATTATTATGTTTTTTGCTAAATAAATTAATATATTTATGAATATATATATATAATATATATATGATTTTGTTCTTTCCAAAAAAAAAAAAAAAAATATGCAGTTATTATAATCACCTTGGTAAATGATATTATTTTGACTATTAAAAATGTCTGTTCACGATTTCATTGAAAAATATTTATTACGTTTTATTCAGAGTGATTGTACGCAAATTGCGACTACGCACAACACACACACACACAATTATTTTTATATCGACGCGTAGATTATTTACGAGCGTACACCAGTGGTTCCTCTCGCCAGATTAGATATTAATCTTATAAAAACAATTCGAGTTTCATTGTTTTACAAAACAAATTTTTAACAATTATTACTATTTTTTTTTTTTTTTTACTAATCTTTATATACCGATTCGTTAACTTCATTCTGCGAAGACTTTGTAATTACATTAATGATGATGTATCACAATCAAATGATGATGTACCATTAGTAAGTGTGTAATATTTTATCGTAAGAATTAGTAATAGTCAATAATAATAATAATAATAATTCTACGTGGCACTTAACATACGCTAGTGAAAAAATAATCGATTTATAATAGCGCGTTATATATAATAACAGATAGTGATATTCATACAACTCTCTCTCATTACACTTTCTTATTAGGTAATATTTTACTTGTACGTATCGAGAGATGTAAATTATTAAAGTTATTAATTGTGTCATACGCGATAAGAATGAAAATATAGGATACCATTAAAATGATACCATGAAATACCATGAAATAGATGCCATTTCAACGCACAGGTACGCTTCATTGTGTAAATATATAACAATAATATATTCATTATACTTATAAGCTTCTAATTTGTTATCCTATTAACAATGATAGTTTGTATAAACTCTTATAATATAACAAATAACAGAAAGATATAATACTTGAGATAAGTTTTTTCTTTTTTTTTTTGTAGTTGTCCATGAAACGTATCTAATGTAAGACTGAAGAATAACATTTGCATAAGTTACATTTTTTAATATACGGGAAGTGTACGTAAAATTGCGAAAAATAGTTACAATTCAAATTAATTTAAACGCTTATTATATCATTCATTTTTCTTGGAAGCATTTAGATTTGTATGCTTGGCAGAACATTAAGGCACATTAATACGATTTAATTCGTCCCAATTATGATTAAATATTTTCCATTGTTTGCGCGAAGAAAGAAGAACGAAGAAGAAATTAATTCATTCATCTCGAATTTCATTCTATTTATCTATCCTTGGTTTATATTTTTGTCCAACGAGTAATAATTAAATAATTATAATGACATTAATAATAATGAGATGAAATTTATCGTTTTTCCTTTTTTTATTTTTTTTTTTTTTTTTTTTTTTTCTTATTACTCATTGGTATTTAGAATTTGATGGTTTTATTAAAAAGAATCAGTGTCTAATTAAATTTATAATAATAGTTAACTTTGATAATAAATAAAAAATCTGATGCAATCGAAAAAATACAACATTTTTAATAATAATAATATATGTAAATTTTGTGTTCTTTTTCTTTTATCGAAAGAAACAAGCAAATAAACTCTAATAAAATTATAAATTAAACAAGATTATTATTTCTATTATGAGACCAATCATTTGAATTTCTGGCACCTATATATATTATTTTCGAGAGATCCTCCACATTATTTTCTAAATAATCTCAATGATATAAATTAATATGGCAAATAAGAAAAAAAAAACAAACAAACAAACAACAACAAATTCGCTTGAAAAAGACTCTCGAGCACAATTTTTCTCCGTATTGTCGTTAATTATTGTCACAAAAGATAGAAAATCGTGTGTGTGACTTATTTTAATGCAAAATATTATTTATCGATGTGTGTGTAATATAAGATGAGAGAATTTGATTGTAAATCGTATTCCTAATGACGATTGATAATTACGAAAATATGCAACAACGAAATTAACGCTGTATATTAAATGCAGCAATTAATTCTATGCCCATTTAATATTAAACAAATTTAATAATTATTCATAAAGTAATCACAAACCTTTCTATTATTTTTCGAAATAGTCTCTCCCATTATTTTCGATTACTTTCGGGGTTCATCTTTCAGGCAACTGCTGAATTTCTTGATGAAAACCAAACAAAAAAAAAAAAAGATGGCCGATTTTTATGCAACGAATTTAATATCAAGAAGACACCGAAATTAACTGCAACACATAATAAATTATTGAGAAAAAAAATGAAAAAAAAAAAAAAAAAGAAAGAAAGAAAGACAGATGATTCCCTCTCGTGCATTATTTTTTTCCGCAGAATATTTAAATTTGCCGATTACAAATTTATCTCGAATTATTCCTTCCCCCCCACTCCCATATTTTTCGTACAACAATATATCTATAAATATAAACTATATTGCACGAAGAGTAATTAGAATCGAAGCATTAACGTGCCCTCCCCCCGTCCCACACACACACACACACACACATTTGATTATTTACTTGTAATGATTTATAAGATCGATAAGTATACTAAAACAAACGTGATGTTCAACGTGACGATGATTTCAAGAGTAATTTGTACCGATCGCTGGTTGTATCTATATAAAGAAAAGAGAGAGAGAGATAGAGAAAAAAAATGAAAAACTTAGAAAACAAAATTCTAAACCGATTTAGATAAGATAAAAAGTAATTATATTATATGATATTATATATAAAACACGTGCACATTGATAAAATAAATTACCTTTGATAGTTTCCACAAAGTACATGCTATCGTCCTTCATATTGGCAACCAATTCGTCGGTAACCAAAACATGAATTCCTTGAGGACCAAGAAAAAGCACGGAATGCAAACGATCCTGAGGTAGGCTCAAAGTATTCATCAATTTGTTCGTTAAAGCGTTGCTGGTTAAATTATCGAGATAAGCTACTCTCCAAAGTAACCCGTTACCTTCCACGGAAAAATAAAGGGTGAGCTTTGGCGTAGGTGGTTTAGAGTGTAAAGCATTGAACAATCGTATTCCATCGGCAAGACCACAAATTTGTATCAAATCGTCTCTTGAAAGCCGTAGAATGTCGGAAGCTGAGAAGTTAGCGAATGTTGATTCGAATGCGTTGAATCTGTTTGCCCTGAGCCACGCACTGGTTTGTGCAGTGTTTGCGTCAGGTGCCAATTCGGTGAAATAAGATGTTCCCTGTGTACGATAGAGAGAAAAAATATAAGGAAAATGATATCCAATAAATATTAATTAGGATTGAAACTTAAAGGAAATAAAAAACAAAAACTTATTCTATAAAACGTAACACAAGGAAAACAAACAATTACAATTTTCATAGATTCCAATTGTTGCTTCGGAGAATTAGTTGTAATTTTTCTAGTAAAACCAACAACATTTTCGTTCTCAACGATGCAAGATTGATCCGGCAAAATGGCGGCTGCAGCAGCTGGTGATGGAAGAGCCGGTGCAGTTGTCCCAACGTTTTCTTTAGCAGCATCCGTCGCTGCTACCAAAGGGACAACACCATCGAATGCGGAAACTGATATGGCCGAGGGTGCTCTAATTGGTGATGCATCTCCACCTACGCTGGCTCGAGTTTGTGGTGATCTAGAAACATTTTGTTAAAACAATTTTTACAATACTGGACACACTTGCAACATGACTCTTCTTTTTCTACATTCCTATTTATATGATTCTCAATTAAAATGATAAAGGAGAGTAAATAAGAACGAATGAACGAGAAAGAAAGAGAGAGAGAGATTTATAATCTCATGTTTCGAGCAAATCAACTTTATTAGGAACAATTAAAGGGAAACTAGCTCATCAAGGATTCGAATGAAAAGAATACATTTGTTGATATGCAGTTAACTAATTGAACCTCAACAATGGTTCTTGAGAAAGAGGTAAACGATATAACAACGATTAGTCAGTGTTCATTTACACTCTTAGGAAATACAATGAAGTAGGGAATAAATAAATAACAAAAATAAAATGATTGGACTCTTGGTAAATAGTTGAAATGCAATTCTCTATTAAAGTGAACCAAATATTCTTGCATTAGTGTTAATCAAATTGTGTTGTTATACAAAATGTACTTGTTGGAAATATTTAATGTTAAAACAAATGCAATGAACATTTGATTCAATCTAATATTATTTCTATATTTCTTACATGGTAGGCGGTGCTTTCAGCCGAAAAATTAACTTGGACGCTTTGCTTGCAGCAGCAGCAATCCTCTTGTTATCGTTTTGACATCTTTTCAAAGTAAGACTCATCAATCCACCTCGAAAAAGATGATGATTCCTTCTAGCACGAGGATCGGTAAGACCGTGTATGAATTTGGCTACGATCTCTATCCCTAAAGGACCACCCTTGATTGTAACCTCGTGTTCAAAAATCAATATCGTTGAAGATGATCTTTCACGAGGATTATTAACCGACGATCTAACAGTCCAACAACTCTTCAAGTCACAATTCGAGAAGCTCTTGGACATTTCGCGAGTATATCAGATAGTCCTTATTATTTTATTTTCAAATTTTTATATAACAAATTCGTTAGGGTCTTCTTATTCCTATTTTTCTGGTCACTCAAAAAACAAAATCTTTACCGAGCAGTAAACGATGATGTTATCGAATAAAATATATCACAAAATCTTGTTAGAAGAAGGAAGAAAGAAAGAAAGAAGACGACAACGGGTGACACACGCCTGCCTGTTGCCTGTTTGTTTCTCGAAATTAGGCGTCTTATTTAAAAAGAAAAAAACGAACGTTAGCTTCCGTGGCAGCTGTCCCGATCGGTTTGAGTCGAACGATCGTTCTCAGATTCACGCATGTTTGCCCCAAACCGGATATCACCGGCCTTGTCTTTACCGGCGCGATCGTTTTCTTTGGCCTTCGTTCTGTCTGCCGCGAATCAAGTTTCCTATTTATCAAAATATTAATATAAACAAATATATCATCATCGGTTCGAGCAATCGTTCTGGTTTCTCCCGGGTTCTCCTGTTGTCTTCACTTGCTTTATCTTTTTATAGATATATTCGATACTTCAGAATAAAAAAACAAAAAAAAAAAGAAATTGCAATAATATCTTTTGGGATAAGATTTTTAACTCGTCCTTTTTTTTTAATTTTGTTCCTCTGAACTCTCTCTTCTTAGATGGGTGATGGTTATTTAATTATTATCATTATCGATCGTCCATTCTTCGTACGATCATCATCTTCCTGTTGCTGAAGATCCACTTGATTCCAACAAATTTCGCCATACAAGAAATAGAATAAGGGGTGCTGCTGAGGTGGTTGCAAATTCTATTTAATTATGTTCATAAAACCAGGTGAAGGGGGTAAATGATGATGGTGATGATGGTGGTGGAGCGTTTTTAACCGCCCTGGCATTAGCTTTCCGGCGGTCAGGCCGCTCGTCATCTCAAAAAATGATCTTTTCCCGATAACGATCTATCGTCGTTACCGATAATCACAATTTCTCGGGACAAAAATAATATTTTTCTATCAACGATAGCTAGAGTAGGTGTTGAGGATAAATCTATGTTGTTGACCCTCGGGATAAAATTAGTATAATCGATCGATCCTAAAGACAAGGATAATAGCGGTGATCGTGCCGCTGAAACGACGAACGGGGGCATTCCAACGGCCTGTGCTTGCTGAAGCTTCTTTCTTTGGATTTTTTTTAGTTGGGGGCCCTTCTTCTTTTTATCGACTAAAGTCTAAATTTTATTTATTTTTTAATTCCTCTCTTCTTTCCTTTTTTATTAATATTTTCGTAAGAACGAAATAGAGTAGGCGTTTAAAGATATATTAAACTTTTGCAATTAACGATAACGGATAGTGCCTTCGTGTTTGGTCACACAACAACATTAGAATGATGCACAATATCACGTACACCCCACACTGCAGCAACAAAATATTTCTTTACAACTTCACTTGGTGGGACACACACGAGATACTTTTTCCGTACCTCCCTCTCCTCATCCTCCTCCACCACCACCTTCTCTTCGTAACTGATCCTCTTCTATCTCTTTCTCTCTTTCTCTGTGTTGCTGTTTCTCGCTGGCTTACGTAAGAGAACTTTTAACACGTACGATCATTCGCGATTATTCCTATATACTCTTTGTCCTCCTCCTCCTACTCCCGCTCCTCCTCCTCCTCCTCTTCCTCCTCCTACTACTACTACACCTACTTTTAAACTTCTCTCTCTCTCTCGTTTCTACTTTTCGCAACTCGACTTCTTCATACGCGCACCAACGTTCCGAAGATAATTATTATTCGTTGTAAAATAATATTCAAATAAATTTGATCCGACAAAAATTGTGGCATTAGAATACAAAACACAATAGAAATTCACTGTGTATTGATTCGCTTCGGGGGGGGGATGATTCCTTTAAAAAGATAACGATGATGATGATGATAACAGTGCACACCACCACCACCACCAACGTTGAACTTTGTTGGTAACACCACACTACTTCCGATTGGTATACGCACCGATACCACCACCAATGGGAGACATTGATTTAATTTCTTAATTTCTCAACGATAGATCATCTTTACAATTTGGCTAGATTCTTCTTAGATTCTTTCCTCTCCCACGATTAATTAAAATCAGTCAGTCAGTGAGTCAGTCAACCAATGTCTCCTTAACACGGTCTCCTCAAAGGCGGGGGGGATGGTACCTTTTGAATCGTAGCAAACAACAAGACTTTCTTAACCAAGGACTTTGGTGCCAAAAAGAAAACAACTGAATATTTCCTATTCAAAATTCAAACAAAACAAGAAGAAAACGAACTGGCTAGGCTAGGGCAGATCAGTACAGATCAGAAAAGATCAGAAAAGATCAGAATAGGCCAGAGCAAAGCAGAGAATAGCAGATATCGGACGGTACGCGTGTTTGGATCGTACGGACGACGCGACGTTCTGAATTTATTTGTCCGTCGTGCGGTGTGCTGCTATATTTTTCTCTCTCACTCTCTCAGTCTCACTCTCTTTCTTTCTCTTTCTGTCTGTCTTTCTCCAAATCCCTCTCCTTTCTATGTAACGATGACGACGATGTTGGTTGCGTTGCTGCCGGCTCTACCAAATGCCGGCTTGCGCCAGTTCGAGCCAGTTTATTAGCCATAGTTACTGAATACAACGTTCCCCTGTTGGCTGTTGCTGCTTCTTGGCCTGTTGTGTGTGTGGTTGTTGGTAACCTCTCTCTCCACCTCTCTTCCTTCCGTTTGACTCCTCAGCCCCTGTTCTGTTGCTATATTTTCTAGAGCTCTCTAACCATTTTACCACTACCACTATACCACCACCACCAACACCATCATAAATGGTTCTAAATGATCCGGCAACGCTGTGCGCATTCGCTTTATTTTATCATGCTCGAGTGCATGTCGGTTGGAGGGAGAGAGGGTGAGACAGAAAAAGAGGGGAAGAGGCGCGCTTGCTTGCTTGCATGTTCGTTTTTTTACTCTCCTCTTGTTTTCCCCCCACCCTATTCTCTAATGCGCTTATATCGTATGCCAAGTTTCGTTTTATAGAGCTTCCTTACCAAAACATACTTGCTTTTTTGTTTTCTTTTTCTTTTTTTTTCTATTCGACACGCGGTGGTGTCTGCTGCTGCTGCGTTTTTATTAGCTTCTAGATGATAATAAACAGATTTTTTCAAAAACACATTTCTATGTGTCCCTCATACCCCCCGCCGCGTAGTCTATATTTACACGCAAATTTTAACGCCAGTGCGTTAAACTAAAAACTATTTTTTGTTCCCCATTATACCCCGAGTGGTCAATCATTTTTATACGAGTGATCCAATCATAGTTTTCGTCTTAGTTTGTGAATTTGATTTTAACGGTTCCGAAAGGAATACTTTATTAAACGCGAATATGTTGCGATCCCGATAAAAAGATAATCGAATTTTGTGTTCTTTTTTCATTCCCATTGTATTTCTGATAAAGATCGCCAGGAAATGATATCTCGGGTTTCAATTTGATAGATTATAATTTATATAAGGTATAATTCTTCGCGTTATGTGTTTAAAAGAGACTTACGTAAAATATGACTTAGGTATTTCGGTCGTGGTTTATCGGATTGGTATGCAAGACCAATTTCCGTTTATTTTCATCGGTATATTATTATAGGGTTTGCTTGGGAATACCGAAATGACGATGATTCTCTTTAAAGATTATATTCCATGATCAAATACGAAATCATTTTACATAGGATATAGTTAGCATATTGTTTCGCAATCTTGATAAAACAACAAAAATGGAAATAAGATTGATTTCGTTAAAGCAAGAATTATGGAAACCTAGGATCGTAGCCAGTTGTATGTTCATATGACTTTTTAGTTTCGTTATTTTTGCCGATTGAATTAACTTCATCGTCTCCGGTCTTATAAATATTAAACTTTCGCAACAACAGACGTACGATTAACGAGGACAAATTTACTTTTAACGTAGTTACAATTATTACAGATGCAAAGATAAAAGAAAAAAGGAAAAAAGTACACTTACATTGCCTCGGTCGACGAATAGGGACTTGTTCCATTTTGCATTATCAAATTTGACGACGACGACGATGACGACGACGATGACGATAGGGCTTCTAATGGAATCTTTAAACAGAATTGAATAAAGATATTATCTCTATGAGAAGAAGGGTCAGAAATTATGACATACTACAGTGATTCCTCACCAAAAAGTATTTAAAACACTTATTTAATATAATACTTGTTGCGAAAAATAGGTAGATGAGATTACGAGGGGGATAAATCAAAGTTGACAGGATACCGGCCATTTTTCTGTTTTTTTTTTTGGTTTTCTTTCTACACAGTTATAGGGGTGCAAAGAGAAAACATAAAACTTACGTCGGATAAAATAGTGCAATCGTAACCAGGTTGATATTTGTCCTGTTCGTGGGGTGGTCGTCGTAGAATTTTATCGCGATCCTGTTTGTGTTTACGATCGGCTCCCTTTAATTTAAAAACTTTGACTTGGCAAGAGGCGGCATGCAACCTGGGACCACCCGGTAATCGTGTTTCAACTTGAATTCGAAATGGTACACCTTTCTCGCCACCGTGTTTCTTTGGTGTAAATTCCGTGCTAATACAATTAACCTGTATACAAGAAATGGTAGCAAACAAAATCTGCGATATAAAGTATAGGGATAAATATAATACGATTCCCGTATACGTTGTATTATCTTACCTTGATGTAAACGCCAACCTCTTTGGTAGGATCCCACATGAATTCAACACTATTACTGGACGGAGATGGTTGACAAACGTCTACCATACCATAACTAAGTGGTACGTCTACCTCGAGTAATCTTTCACCTGGTCTAGCACGTTGCCAGGCGAGCATTTGTTCACGCTCGGTGTATTGAAGGCGCCTCTCGTGGAAACAAATACGAATTGTCGACTGAAACAGAAAGTTTGTATGTCCCTTCAGAGGCGTTGTAGTACCGTTTGGGAGACTAACATCTTTCTAACGTCGATGACACGCCGTTTAATTCGCTTAACGAAACGTCATGACAAATATATATCCTTATAATAGAACGAATAAACTATCTAAAATTATAAAAAAGATAGTACAGGTAAAAGTCACCTGATATCTTAGCATATCACCGAATCGTTTTTGAAGATGCCGCTACCCAAACATAAGTGTATGTTCCTAATGGGTTTTTAATAAAATAAGCGCGCGACCGAGTACCTTCAAAATTCTTCCACGATAGGCTGATAGATCCCCTAGTTTCTTCAATTTGACTTCATACGACTGACCTTGGTTTAAATAAGTAAGCGTTTCCTCGTTAACCTTCGTTGCAATGCTAGTAGCCGCTGCCAAAACGTATTGGAATCTGACAAAAAAAGCACAATTTATTCGTTACCACGTGTTAACAATCTACAAATATATTATTTCTTCTTATTCCTTAGGTTTTACATTTGATTTCCTTACCGACAATCCTCGTTAAATTCGTTCCCTTGTTGGGAGGATGAAGAAACGTGATTTCCGGAGGTCGAAGTCGCCGGATATTCCTCGTTACTCGAATAAAGCAATTGATGAAGACTAGCAGCTGCTTCTGCTGATGTTGTTTGTCCATTGTTGCTGTTGTTATCCGTTTTGATTGCACCGACGTTGTTGTTGTTCGCAACATTGTTCGTAGCTGGTCCTCCTCCTGCGTTTATTGCTCTCTGAGTCACGTGATTTAAACTGCAACAACAGACATTTCCTACTAATTACTATGATTATCTAACAAAACAATTTGGCACGATCTCTATCAACTTACTATAAATGCGAAAAATTATTTTTCATAGTTTCTCTTTTACATTTTACATGATCCTATACAATTAATCTTCAACGATTTGTTGATTATCAGTTATATTGTTTAGATAATTTAGATTTTGGCAAATTTGATGATTTAGGAGAAGAATTGAAGGGAAAAATTTGTCCTTTTAACGCTACTATTACTACTACTACTAACAGTACTTAAAGTTAATGACAGTTAACTCATTTTCTCGACGCGCAGATAATTTCATAAGACGAGACGTGGGAAGGGTGAGGAGGGCCAGAGGGGGGAGGACTAAAGATTTGACCCGAAGGAGTCAGAAAGTATACGACGATGATAACAACGAACGGGTTAGTTCGTTCGAGTATTTATCAAATTCTTTATCAGTTTCTGTTTCTCTTTGCTTTGCAGGGGAGCCTCCTGGTAAATTCCGTTTGATTTTTTTTTCTGATTTTCTTTCTTTTTCTCCCCCTCTTTCAAGTATATTATTTTCTTTTCTTGATCTTAATATAAGTTATTATTATTATCATCATCATCATCGCTTTTTATATTTTGAGATTACTTACTTCGAATTGTTGTGTTGATTTTCCGGTGACGGTGCTTCCTGTTTGAAGACCGATGGAAAGGCGAGTAAAGCTTCGCTGAAAATATTACAAATATTATATGATTAGTGTTAGAAAAGTTGTGCTAGGGCAGAGCTTCTTAAACTATGGGTCGCGACCCCACATGGGGTCGCGTAGCAAAATTCTGCGGTCGCGAGAGATTTTAATGTCAAATATTTATATATACCATTTTATAACATCACTAGAGTTGGCGGAATACAGTGGACTTGCAGCGTCTAGGCACGTGCATTTGTTGAAGGTTTTGAGCTATCTCCACCGACAGCAGTAATATTTGTATGGGGTCGTCAAGAAACTCGCAATCATAAATGGGGTCGTCAAGAAACTCGCAATCATAAATGGGGTCGTCAAGAAACTCGCAATCATAAATGGGGTCGTGAATGACAAAAGTTTAAGAAGCACTGTGGTAGGGTAACGGTTCGTAATAGACTGTATGTATAAGATAGTGTAAACTTATGACTGTAATTAGAAATGATGGATATATTGACTCGTGAACAATAACGATCGAGTTGCTGAGGAAGATCCCAAATATAAGGACGAAACGTTCAACTGATTAATAGATTGTTCATCTAATTAAAACCTGTCCAAAAAAAAAA